GAGAGGAAGGGAGAGGGAGAGATAGAAGAATCAATGATGAGAGAGTAACTGATCGGCTGCCTCCTGCACACCCCCTACCGGGGATCCAGCCCCCAACCCGGGCCTGTGCCCTGACCAGGAATCGAACTGTGACCTCCTGGTGCGTGGATTGATGCTCAACCCCAGAGCCCTGCGGCCGGGCTCGTTGTCCCTGTGTTTGAACTTTATATGAAGAGTATCGTGCTGTGTATCTTCTTACGTGTCTTGCCTTTTCGCTTAACTTTATGAGATGAACGTGGTGCCCTGACCGGGAATCGAACTGTGACCTCCTGGTGCGTGGGATGATGCTCAACCCCTGAGCCCCACGACCGGGCTCGTTGTCCCTGTGTTTGAACTTTATATGAAGAGTATCGTGCTGTATATCTTCTTACGTGTCTTGCCTTTTTGCTTAACTTTATGAGATTAACGTGGGCATGCGGTTTTGTGGAGCTGGATGTCATTACGTGTCACGGCTGCACGGTACGTCATTGCGTATCAGTCCCCCGAGACGGGCATTTCGGCAGCCGGTGGCTGTTGGCCGTTAGGCACGCCCCTGTGTTTGAACTTTATATGAAGAGTATCGTGCTGTATATCTTCTTACGTGTCTTGCCTTTTTGCTTAACTTTATGAGATTAACGTGGGCATGCGGTTTTGTGGAGCTGGATGTCATTACGTGTCACGGCTGCACGGTATGTCATTGCGTAACAGTCCCCCGAGACGGGCATTTCAGCAGCCGGTGGCTGTTGGCCGTTAGGCACGTTGCCGCTGTGTTTGCAGTCGGCTCTCCACAGGTGTGGCATCCTCAGATTCAACCAACTGTGGGTCGGAAGTACTTGGGGAAAATGTTGTTTTTTGCCGACTTACACTCTGTCGTTGGGCCTGTGATGGTTGGGTCCGTACTGCCCACGTACAGCCTTTCCCGGTCATTCCCTAAACATCACAGGATGGCAACTATTTAGGTAGTTTTAGGTCTGACAAGTAACCTAGAGATGACTTAAGGTACACAGGCGGATGTGTGCAGGTTGCATGCAAATACTATACTATCTATAATAATAAAAGCATAATATGCTAATTAGACCGGACAGCCGAACATCCTTCTGGACAAAGCCACGGTGACTTCGAGGGCCGAGTGCAAGCAGCCACGGCGTCCGGCAGCGGCAGCAGCCAGCGTCGGGGTGACGGGGGTGGCACCTTCCCCTGATCGGTCCAGTCGCCTCCCGCAGAGGGAGGCCAGACCCCGTCAGTAGGACATCCCCTGTGGACTGTGAGAGGGGGCAGGCTGGGCTGAGGGACCCCCTCCAGTGCACGAATTTTTGTGCACCGGGCCTCTAGTTTTATATAAGGGACTTGAGCATCCACGGATTTTGGTATCTGGGAGGTGGGGGGGGGGCTAGCACCACTCCCCCGCAATACCAAGGGTAGATGGCACCCCTATACCCTGGTGTACATGTGCAAGGATTTCTGTTGGTGTGGAATGACAGGATACAAAGCGTCAACTTCAAGCAAAAGGAAGAGCAATCTCTGCTTTATGAAGCCCCACTAAGGTGGGTAAGATTTCTCTCGCTCCACCTCCATTCCAGCACTTGGTTATTGCCAGCTGTTCTACCACTTGTCAACCTGGTAGATAGATGTTTAGTGGCATCTCCATGAAGTTATCCTTTAAAATTTCCTTAACAGTCAGGTGGAACACCTGTGTAAGTGTACTCCAATCGATCAAACATCTCCTTTATCGGTTGTGTTGTGACTTAAATAAAACGCCACTCCCTATCCCAGGGTCATGAAGTTATTTACGTCCAAACACTACGAGCTTATGCATTTGCATTTCACATCGAGGTGCTTGAGCCACCCGTCTCTTCGCTGACACCACACTGTCTTCGTTACCGTCATTTCATCTTAAGTTTTTATACCTGACGGCAACTTCTTGTTCTTTTTCAAGAGCGTCTGGCTGCTCTTGGCCCTTCGCATTCCCACGTCCATTTTTGAAACAGCTCATCAAGTTCAGCAACATCAACAAACCCACTGGGCATTGAGAGATTTGACGTCGTCACCATACGTAGTGGTGCTGTCCATGAACGTGGTTATGACTGCGTTTGTTGAAGATCTGTTTCATGTTCCTCAGAGGAGTTTCACCGTTGGCCCAGCAGACACGTGGTGGACTTTGCTACGTTATCTGTAGCTCTCCCTTCGCTCATTTCTGACATTGGTTATTTGTGCCCTTTTTTCCCTTTTTTTTTGTAGGCACAGATCTATTAAGACACACATTGCAAGCAGAATGGCATATCACAGCCATACAGCTAGTAACTTACACAGTCCGTAAATCATGGCTGACCTGGACATTTACTGTCCTTTAAAGAAATACGGCGATTGATGTAGTGATGGGGAATTATGTGTTACGGGAAAGGGAGCCTTATATTTTGGTGATGTAGGTAAGGAGCACAGAGTGGTCCATACTGATCGATGGCCGAGCATGCTACCCCGGTACAGACAGTCCTCGGTAATGTATGTTTGCTTACTTATACCCAAGGGTTTTGAAAGTGCCATCACCAGCCCTAACTAGATATACTATTGGCTTGTTTATTTCAAATCCATCTCAAATCGGGGGAAACTATAGGTAGGAGTAATTTTATTTAATTATTTACTTTTAAATATATATATTTTTAAAAATATTTTTATTTATTTCAAAGAGGAAGGGAGAGGAAGAGATAGAAACATCAATGATGAGAATCATTGACCGGCTGCCTCCTGCACGCCCCCTACTGGGGATCGAACCCCCAACCCGGGCATGTGCCCTGACCGGAATCGAACCCGGGACTCTTCAGTCCCCAGCCAACTCTATCCATTGAGCCAAACCGGCTAGGGCATAGGTAGGAGTAATTTTAAATTCGAAAGTATGACTGTTGCTCTCAGATTTTCAATCCGAGTTTAGATGTCCCAAGTGGCATATAAAATGTTCCCTTTTCTTTTCCTTCATAGAGGCTCCTGGGGCAGCCTGTCACCAATGATTGGTAAGTGTGGGAGCATACAGGCCCAGCCTTCTTATTAAAAAAATATTTTTATTGATTTCAGAGGAAGGGAGAGGGAGAAAAACATCAAGGAATCGTGGATTGGCTGCCTTCTGTACGCCCCCCCCCCGTGATTTCAGAGAGGAAGGGAGAGGGAGAAAAACATCAACAAATCGTGGATCGGCTGCCTTCTGTACGCTCCCCCCCACTGGGGATGGAGCTCGCAACCCAGGCATGTGCCCTGACTGGGAATTGAACCGTGACCTCCGGGTTCATAGATTGATGCTCACCCACTGAGCTACGCCGGCCGGGCAAGGCTCAGCCCTCTAACCTAGCCTGGGACCGGTTAGGAGACAGGGGAGCTCATCCTATCTTGAAACTCAGTGTTGGCTCGTTTGAGGCCTCCAGTGAGAAGGCACTGGCTGTTGGACACAAGGCCAGTTTCAGCTGCTTTTTTGAGTCGCTCTAGCTGTTTGTGAGGGTTACCATTTACTGGCTTTGCTCCTTCTTGGAGGTCTTCTGAAGGACAGAAGGAAAATTATTTTTTAAAACATGGACTAAAACTCGTTCTCTTGCAGTGACTGTCAGAATCCACTGGGTCGGTGTAAACTGAAGGTTCACGATGGACTCGAGTGGTCCTGCGTTTCCTGATCTCGCAACACGCTGCTCTGGGCTTCCCTGGGAGGCGGCTACCTGTGCAGCCCGCTCCTGTCTCTGTGCCGGTGAGAACCTGCCTGTGGGTGCTCTTCCCAGGTGTGCGGGTGCTCCATGCGGCGAGGGTGCCTGCCTTGGTCTCTCTCCAGTAACGGGTCCCGCCTTTCCTCGGCGAGAGTGGGGAGGGGAGGGCAGTGTGTAGAAGCTGTGAGCTTTCCGCCCGAGGCCCAGGAGGGAGAACCGTTTTGGGAATCCGCTTTTGAAAAGGCATCACGGTTTTTTGCGGGGTAGATGGGGACACAGAAAGGGCGGGTCCATGAACAGCGTGCTAACGGCCCAGCCGCTTCCTGCTCCAGGATCATCGCTTAGACTCACGGACATGCCTGGCGAGGACTCAGGCCGGAACGTTTATTAGGAAGACACGCTAACATGCTTAGACACACAGAGCCGCGCAGACACGTTCTCGGGGACCCGCAGGGAAGAAAACGCCATGAGGGCAAAAGTGACCGTTCTCAGGGGACTTTCAGTTTTAGAGCCGCCGCATGTCCATTTCACCACAGACAACTGTGGGGGCTGCTCCGTGAGCTCCCCACGCTCGGATCTGAGCCTGTGGGAACTCGGGCGAGGTGGAGCCCACGGAAGTTCGCACGGACGTGGTGTCGGGAGGTGAACCTCGGCTCCCGCGAGCGCCGGAGAAGGAAATGCGACTGTGGCCGTGGCCTCCGGGTGCGCCCGCAGCGGCTCCACCCGGAAATCCACGCTCTGCGTGGGGAGGGGTGAAGTTTCAGGGCCGTCCGTTGGTGGAGGGCACCGCCATATCTGTATTAATATGAGCACACACACCCTCTAAGATAGCAGCCACCGGGAACTTAGCTTTTCTGCATGTGATTCCTGATGCCCGGAAATAAGATTCTGGGAGTCTGTGCATTTTGATGTCAGTGTGGACGTCTAAGGAAAGTACCTAACGTAGCAATGACCCTGACCGCTCACGTTGTGCTGGGCGCTGAGCTCCCGGCAGATGCCCTGTCCCATCAGACGCTCCTGGGGGCCCCGCTGACCAGCGCCCACCCCACTGATGACCAAGGAGACGGCTCTGGGGCTAGGCATCGGCCACGTTCCCACCGCCTGTGAGGCTGGGACCGGGGCTAAGGCAGCCTGTCCCAGCGGATTCCAGAGCCGGATCCCCAGCCCCTGTGCTGTTTGCCATCAGTGAGGCCCCGACCTGCCAGACGGGGGGCAGGTGGGTAACTTCACCTGAGAGACGCTCACAAGAGTGTATCGTTGGGGTGAGAAGCGAGACCAAGTCAAGCGGAACATAAACCCCTGCTCATTTAAATAGTTTATTTACAGGCTTTCCCGTCACCATCATTCTACGAGGATTATAAACACGGACACAGCGCATGCACCGCCCAGGAAGGAATAGACTGCTCGGCACAACCCCAGACCCGCCCGCTGCCAGAGCTCCAGAGAGACCGGTGCCTCCGGCCGGGACCGCAGCGCTCCCCCAAATCACAAAGGACGCGTCGCTTATAAATAATGTTCACCCCCCTTTCCTGTCTCAGCCAAACCCGGCGTTTCCGTGAATCCAGCGAGCGCCGGGCAGGTCACATGGCGTCGAAGTGAAACCGGTGGGCTTCCTGCCGCTTCTCTCTGTCGTCCGCTTTCTGAAAGAGACGCAGACCCGGTTATAAACGCAGGAAGTGGCAGCAGACGCCTTAGCTCTGGGATAAAGAGGTTCATTTAGAAAAGCCTCAGCAGTGGACGGACACAGGTGCTTCTGGAACAGTCTGTGCCCGGGTTTGAAGCTTGCAGGAGTGATTTTCTACGTACTGAGCCACACTGACTCTAGCAGCCAACAGGAGCTGTTCCCTAAACGCTTCCTTTTGATCGCGTAGCATTTATGTGAAAGTCGGAGTAAACATGAGGTTCTGTAAGGACGGAACAGCGATCACATTTCTCACTCCTGCCCCTGTCTGATGTTAGTCAGCGAATCTAAGTCATATTAAAGTATATTCATTATTTTGGGGCTACCCTATTGATTTAGCAGCTATTAATTGACTCTGTTCCCAGCAAAGTACTGTGCTTGGTACTTTGAGGGATTAAAAAGACCCTCATTTTTGTATTTTGTTCTCAAGGAACTTAAAGCCTAGAAAGAAAAAAGCCTAACATACTGCATAGGATTTCAGAATAAAAAGTGAAAAACGTGCCCAGCCGGTGTGGCTCAGGGGTTGATGATCGACAGATGAACCAGGAGGTCAGGGTTCAATTCCAGTCAAGGGCACAGGCCCAGGTTGTGGGCTCGATCCCCAGTGGGGGGTGTGCAGGAGGCAGCCGATGGATGATTCTCTCTCATCGTCAATGTTTCTCTCTTTCCCTCTCCCTCCCTCTCTGAAATCAATAAAAACATATATATTTAAAAGTGAAAAATGCTGCCCATGTCCTGAGAGAGAGAGGACTTTAGCTGAAGCTGGCGGGCGCGTGTGGAAAGCAGGGAGCCCGGGTGGGTGAGTGGTTAGGAAGCGGAAGGAGGGAGCAGCCAGCGTGCGTGCGATGGACGGGAGGCAGGCAGGGCACCAGGGCCCGTGGAGGCAGCACAGGTTTGTGCATAACCCTTCCTTGCGCCAGGCGGCATGAGGGCGGGAGCCCAGTGTGTCGACCGTCATCAGATCCCCGAGAAGCTAAGGGAATGGATGCCTCGGTGTAGGTGCAGCGCTCGGGGATCTCAGACCGCAGACCGCCCCCCGACGGTTCTGACCAACTTCGAAGGCCACCCTGGTCTCGCTCCTTAGTTGCTCTGAGGATGAGCCGACTGCAGCCCTGTTATCACATTTCTCATGTGAAAGGAGTGATATTTTTGAAGAGAGAAGCCATGAGCATTTACCAGACAGGGGGCGTGTTCTCTTTTTCATCAGTTAAAGAACAGCAAAGGCCCGGGCGGTGACTTCAGTGAACGTTTAGTAACTGATGGTTACATCTTTCGGGACACGAAGGAGCCTTTTTTGGGAAAACACTGTAGTTGCTCTGAGGATGAGCCGACTGCAGCCCTGTTATCACATTTCTCATGTGAAAGGAGTGATATTTTTGAAGAGAGAAGCCATGAGCATTTACCAGACAGGGGGCGTGTTCTCTTTTTCATCAGTTAAAGAACAGCAAAGGCCCGGGCGGTGACTTCAGTGAACGTTTAGTAACTGATGGCGGGCATGGCAGCACCATGGAGGGTGGTGAAAAAGGAAATACTTTCGGGACACGAAGGAGCCCTTTTCGGGAAAACACTTTGTGACCTGCTAGTTACGTACTTATATTCATGTATGAGTAGGAATGAGCCTTTTCAATTTGCATCTAAACCGCCACTAACTGTGGTCGCCGCCTGGTCCCCTCATGGGCGCTGTGTGAAAACCTGCATATGTGGAGTTTTGGTTTTAATTATTCAGGCTGTTACACTGAAGCGCCGAAGTCAGTTCAGTGCAGAGAATACCTGACAGAAGGCGGATGGGCCACTTCAGCTCCTCGCCCGAGAGCTGGGGCCCGCTGTGAGCCTGTGGGCTCGATTCTTCTCAGGGAGAGAGAGAGAGAGAGAGAGAGAGAGAGAGAGAGGAGACGGAGAGAGAGGAGAGGGGTCATCCCCGCAGAAGGCCGTCTGCGGCTCTCCCAGGAAATCATGAACACTCATCAAAAATGATGACCATTGTTTCAGGCTGTTAGGAAATTGTTTCCAATTAAATTTTTTCCATGTACCTGGTGACGTGGGGCGATCACTCTACCACTATTGCACAACATCAACATTTTAAAGTAAATCGTCTCCTGTGATCTGTATGACCTGCCGAGACATAGTCCCTTAAGGGGATAAAGCAAGTCTCAATAAGGTGACATTATGGCTCTGGCCAGCATGCCCAGTGGTTAGAACGTTGGTCCAAGCACCGAAGGGTCGAGGGTTCGATTCCTGGTCAAGGGCATGTACCTGGGCTGCAGGTTTGATCCCTGGACCCGGTCGGGGCACGTGCGGGAGGCAACCAATCGATATGCTTCTCCCACATTGATGTTTCTCTTTATGTCTTTCCCTTCCTCCCTTCCACTCTCTCTAAAAGCCAATGGGGAAGATGTCCTCGGGCGAGGATTAACAACAACAACAACAAGACATCATGGACAGAAATGGAAAAATCAGAAAACCTTACTCATGTCACAGGCCTAAAATGCGGTGTTTGAAAGAGCAGCCTGTTACTTAACCAAAGCGAGCGTTTCATTGGCGCGCACGGACCTTCTCCTGCCAGTGCAGGATGCCGATGATGGCCAGGATGAAGATGCAGACGCCGATGAGCGCGATGGCCGTCAGCAGGACGATGTTGCTCGGCGTGAGGTACAGCTTGGCGCTCCAGCTGCCGATGCAACGGAAGAGTCAGAACGACCGTTTAACTTAAAGATACAATTCTACCGAGACCAAAAAGCAGGACAGCTTATGAGTGAATCCACTCATTCATTCAAGTCACTCCCCCATCTGTCCATGTGTTACCAACACACAGAAGCCACTGCGTTCAGGCAGGACTAACCATGCTGGCCCTGAGGGGTCAGCTTTCACTCGGCGGGCCTGGAGTCGGGCCGCTGTGACATTTCTCCTTGCTCCTGTGGACACTGCTCTGAGGTACATTTGACAAGGGTACTTGGGACAATGTTAGGCGTTGCTTTCACATCCTGCTTGCCTTGTTAATTCGACACCTTGAACTCTACGCCATGTAGCCACAGGATTTCGGTAAGATTCCATATCATCCTTTCTCGGGCCTCTGCTCACAGAGGTACTACGACCAACTAAGACAACCACGTGACCAGCTGGTGCAGAGAGACGGTTTGTGGGGAGCTTGGGTCGTCCCTGCGTCGCGGGGGAGGGCTGACGCCCACGCGGACGGGAGACTCCTTACAGAATCACCCGGGTCGCTCTGCGTCAGTGGCAACAGGCAGACTTTAGCGTAAACAGAAGCAGGTCTTTCTTGTGACACAGCCCACAGCCAGCCCCTGCACAGCCCGGGAGCCTGAGGCAGGTCTATGCAGGGGGTGCTACACAAATCATTTTTGTTCTCCCCCAAAAGAGGTAATGGATATATTTTCATTTTAGAAGTTTAATAAGGTAAGATGGTTCTATGAATGGCAAGTAGCGACTGACTTATTTGGGGCTAATTAAAATTTATTGATCCATAAGTTAGTCTCTAGTGAGTAAATCTCAAAATACGCCTCAAAGTAAAATCAATTTGGCTTTTATTACATACGTAAATCTGGAAAGAACATTTCTTCAGAAAGAACAAGAGAACCATGAGGAACGTGGAGATTGTAGAGGAAAGCTGTAACAGTTTTCCAGAAGCTCAGGAGAGAACAGGAACGAGCTGAGGTTGGCTGCTCCCGGCCCGTCACCTGACTACTGTGGATGTAACCCTGTGAACGCTTTTATGAAAAAGATCGCTGCTTATTAAAAACCCAGCACCCTGACATGTTAGAATTTACAGCTCGTAAACTGAGGCCTGATTTATTTAGGTGGAACGTGTATAAACTCCTCATTGTTAACCTGCTGGTTTTCGGATAAGGTTTAATTTGTCTGCATAGGAGCACCAGGGCTTCTGTGTGGGGTGTGCAGTCACGGGGTCTGCGGGGGCAGGGGGGGGAGGAGTGCAGTGCGGGCCCCCCTCCGAGGGGAGCACAGCAGGGAGGGAGCGCAGGCGGCCTTACCTCCGAGGCATGTTGTGCGGGTAAGGAATGACGATCAGCTGCGAGTTGGGGATGATGGCAGTCCACTCCTGCTTCCGCACCGACTGCAAGGAGGAGGGAGGACTCAGCATCTTACACTCTCTCCTCTCCACGAAGGAGCGGACAAGCGCTCTCTGGCTTCATGGAGCCCTGGGCACGGGAAGCTGCATCACATGCGGAGCCCAGGCAGGGCTCCCTGAGGCACAATGTGTGTGGTCTTTCAGGGAAGGGTCGCATTTCCGCCTCCCGGTGCTTATGCGCAGCCGTCACCTTCACCCTGAGGCACAATGTGTGTGGTCTTTCAGGGAAGGGTCGAATTTCCGCCTCCGGTGCTTATGCGCAGCCGTCACTGTTCCCAGTGCTGGTACTGAGGCGGGAGCTCAGAGCGGAGGGAGTCCGACAAGCACGTGAGACTCGGTGAGTGAGTGAGATGGCGAGGAAAGCAGGCGAGGGCCAGGGGTCACGAGGCTTATGGCGAGGAGGCGGGAACTCTAGCTTCCCATTAGGACGTGCTCCAGCCAGGCCACTACCAGCAATTCTCTTAGCTCTTGATTTGAATCATTGCAATTCAATTCAAGATTCTGAATTCAAATGTTTGGACAGTGAATATTAGAATATAGGCTAACTGTAAACAAAACGTATTTGTACTCACCTTCTCTCCAGATGGACGGGGAATCCCGACATAAAGATGGTCGAGGAAATTCGCACTTCGACCTAAACCAAGTACATTGTAGGGCAGCTGGAGAGCTAGATGTGCCGACTGGCTGAGTTGTCCAGCTACGTTTATTTAAAAAAAAAAAAAAAGACACCTTTGGAAACAATGCTCATCAAATATTAAAATGGTAAACTGTTAAAAATATGAATAGAATCTCATGAGGCGAAATCTTTCGTTCTAACAAGTCTGGCCCTACAGTTTCTAATTTTCTTTGATTTTTCAGACTATGTCTGACTCACTGCATCTGTGCAGACGGGATCTCTAACTGCTGAACAGCTGAATGAGCTGCAAACTTTCTCAGTTTCTCACACTCTCTGTGTTATGTAAGTCGTTCATTCACTCAGTCATCCGATTTCTGTCCTTATACCAAAGGGAGGGATCAGCTGCTGCTTAGAGGTATCTGCGTCGTCCCTCCGTCCCTCCCTCTTTCCTTCCAGTGAGAAAAAGTCACCATCACTAGTTAAGTCCCGCCCCCCCTGCCCCCACTGTTGACGTGGCTCTTCCTGTCAGATCTTTAGTTGATGTGAGATTAAGGTAAGGGGACAATTCTTGCAAAAACTCATTTTTTTCAGAGTGAAATCATGTCATGGATATTCCAGAGGGCATTCTAGCTTTTTCCATTCTCTTTTGTTACCGATTTTGACACAAAAATAAGCCTGAATAATGTTTGCTCAAGCTAAAGAAAGATAATACCAGCGAGTCCTGGATGTTCTGGTTTAACAAGCATCTGAATTAAAATGTAAAGAAGTTAATTTGTTCAAACTGTCTATATCCTCATTTACGTTTCCTTGACCAACATCGTCTATTAAAGTGTTTGATTATAAGTGTTTGTCAATTTCTCCTTGAAATGTGAAAGTTTTTGTATTATGGGATGTTTCTGTGCGGAGGCAGGAGCAGGACTGGGCGTTTAAACGTGTACAATTAGCTAAACAGGAGACTCACTGGGGTGCACTGCTGTGAGGCCGTCAGATACAACCAGGAGGGCCGGACAGTGAGTTCTCCCATATTCCGGGTCCATAAACATGGGGAATAAAAGCAACTCTGCTGATGCTTCTTCACGGCGAGGCCCCTGGCGTCTCAGAGAAGCACTGAGAGGTTACGGTCCTGTTCTTCCTTAGAGAATCGGGACGATCACAGTTGTGTTTACTGCGATCTGAACCCCCTCTCAGGCCGCCAGCGTCTGTCAAGAGCTCACACCCTTCGCTTAGTCTTACTTGTTTTTTGTCTGAATTGCATTTCCCTTTATTGTTGCTTCAAAAGTAGAGCTAGAGTTTTTCTTTATGATCATATATCATATAGCCCCATGTAATATTCTAGCTTCTATTCCACTAGGAAAAAACTAAGATTACTTTAGGTTGTAGATTGGATTCCTAATTTTTATTTCTTCTGAGAGGCGCTTTGCTAACTAATTTACCACTTCACAATTTGATCAAGGTAACTCTAGTAATTTCTCTCAAACTCTGCTACTTCAACTGAAGAATCGTGTAACAATTTGGCTTCATCACAATCGGGAAATCTGAGGAATTAATATATTTGTCATGAGGAGCTTCTGTGATCTGCTGATGAGCGTCCACAGAAAGACTAAGTGTGATATGAAGGGGAAGGTTTATGAAGCGCGTGAAAGCCTGCTAGCTGTTGTTACCAGCTGACTTTGCCAATAGACTGACTGCAGGGGTCCTGTGTGTTGGGAACTGGTGCCCGGTCTTACCCGAACCATTTTTCGGATATCCATTTGCATCCACGGTTGTGTACATGATGTAAGGGCCAGGCTGGTTCACGCCAAAGGGCTGCAATAAAAAAAGAGTTAAGCCTGGGGCAGCAGCGAGTCATCTTGTTGGACATCTAGGAGCTGATGTTGTCTCTCATATACGGGTCAGCGTCCTGAGCAGTTCTCCCCAGAGAACGGTCACTACTTGAAGGCAGGCAGCCCCCCGAGAAGCCCCGCCCTCAGCATGTCTGCATTCCCCGGTCTGGAGCTGCTCTGTGTGAACAGCCCTACCAGGCGGGACTGTTTGTTAAAAACAATCTTCAGAGTGCCGATCTGACTGTAACCTATGACAACAATTTTGTGTGCATCTATTTTCATGCAAAGAATTTCTCAGAAATATTTACAACTGAGAGTTTACTTACTGTTATCTTACGAGGACAGTCATTAGAACAGAGGCCACTAAGAACTGTGGAGAAATAAAGAAAAGGCTATTTATTATCCTATATAATAAAAGCATACTATGCAAATTGACTGAATGGCAGAACAACCGGTCGCTATTTCGCGCACTGACCACCAGGGGCAGACGCTCAGCACAGGAGCTGCCCTCAGTAGGCTCAGCCAGAAGCTGGGCTCACAGCTGGCGAGCGCAGCAGCGGTGGTGGGAGCCTCTCCTGCCTCCGCTGCAGGTGGAGAGTAAGGAGCGAGAGGGTCCTGGACTGTGAGAGGGCACAGGCCAGGCCGAGGGACAACTCCCCTCCCCCCCCAGTGCATGAATCTCGTGCACCGGGCCTCTAGTTACTGATAAAATGTAAGCTTATATTTAAAGAAAACTCTTACTGTTTAACCTAAAATCTATTAATATGCTCTTTCGGTTGATAATCACACGCAGAAACCAATTCATTTCTTTAGATCTGAGTAAATTAAATTTTTGTTGTTCACTTTACACCAGTGTTTCCAAAGCCTTGTGAAGCAATCAGAATGCGAATCTATAGGTGCGATAATTCTGGTTACATCAGCTATAGCTACTGTGGGTTTTATTTTCCAACTGGTTAGCTCCATTTCAAGGATGACTTGGAATCTGACAAAAGTGCCAAACGCAAACCAATTAAAATGCCTGCTGAGAAAAACAAATAGAACATTTAGTTCTTTATGTCTCAAACTAGACTTTTCCCATTTATATAGTCAAAGTTTCTGGTCACAGATTTTGGGCACGTTTGATAACTGTTATAGAAAACATAACTATAAAATAATTGATGAGTCTACCATACAACAAATATACAAAAATAAAGACACATTTATTCTATAATCACCCAAAAAGAGAAGGCGAGAATATGTGAACAGTCTTTCTAGGAGCCACCTGAGTATGAGACACAGCTGTGCTACTGCTGCTGCAGGTGCGGTGACGCCGTGTAACAAAGCAGACACATGCTATTACGTAAACATCCTGTGTGTGACGAGTGAGAGAGCTGACAGTTCCGCTCAGCACGCAGGAATTATCTCGATAATAGTTAGGAATGTGCCAGTTCAAACAGATCCATAGGAAAATGGGTTCTTCTATTTACTTCTATTCTGTGACTATAAAATGACAACTGTTCTAATAGGAGTACAAAGGCGCTAAGACGCGAGTGTGGTTATTTCATCGTGCGAGAAGAGAGCTGCTCACACACTGAAGGCGTGAACGGCACTTCATGTTTACATTAAGTACAACTTCCGGGAAGAGTGAAGTAAATGTCTTCTACTTGCACCACAGGGTTCAATGGTTAAGGTTCTTATCCCGGGACAGTGACTGGTTCTCACTGGTTTCTTCTCCAGGGTTTTTCTGTTTGTTTTTTTGTTCATCTTCCCTCAGCTCTAGGCAGACATTAGCATTTCTTCTCCGTTTGTCCCAAAGTGACTTTCACAAGCCTTCACTGAAAGCACCATTCTGCTGAACAGTAATGACCTGCTCACAGTCTGTGTTTCTGACCAGCAGGTAGGCTCTGCGTCATTTCCTCACCGTCTCGGGGCCTACGCCAACGTCGCTGCTCAGTAAATACTCGGGACGGCAGGAAAAAGATGGATTATCCAGTACACGGTACTGGATAATGGGCCACTTGGAGGAAAATGAAGTTAGACTATAAGGGAGAACATCAAAATTACATTTGGCAGTGGCCCAAATAATATGAAAAGACAATTTAAAAACGAGCAAAAGATTTGAACAGGCATTTCTCCAAAGAAGAGACGAACAAGTTCATGAGAAGGTGAGCGGCTTCGTTAGCAGCGAGGACAACTCGCACCAAACCAGCGAGTGCGTGCCACTCGGTCCAAGAGCGGAAGCAACCAACACGCCCTCCACCGAGGGCTCCAAACCCGCCAGGGACAGCGCTCTGCCTGCACAGGGAAGAATCCTGTCCTGGGCCACCCACGGGAACCCTGAGGACGTCGTGCTGAGAGAAATAAGCCAGACACAAGAGGACCGATGCTGCACAATTCCACCCAAGGAGGTGCCCGAGGAGCCACGTTCATGGACAGTGGAATGGCGACCAGGGGTACATGCATCCACTGTACTTCTGGGTCTTATCTTAAGGCTTTTGGCAGGGACAGCGGAACTACCTCTGGAGAGATTATTAAGCATCATTTTCGCAAACTTCTCTCATTGATGTTTCGGTGAGTGGCGGACTCTGCACGCGGATTTGTCATTGATGCTCGTCCTTAGGCCTCTCAGAAGACTGCGAGGTAAGTGCAGTGGCCCCGCCCCTTAGTCAGAGGGGAGCCGAAGCTGGGCCCGGACGCCACTCCAGGCACAAAGCACACGGAGCTCTGAACGGCCATGTGGCCACTGGACACCGACTCGCCTGGCAGACGCGCTCCCCTGCTTCAGGGGAGGCGGGAGAGGAAGGCCCGCGGACCGCTGTTTGCTGTACAGGGGATGCTGTGTCGTGTTTGGCAACCTGAGAATTTTACTCAGTCACATGATGGGCTCTCGCGTTTTGTACAGAGCAAGCTAAAAACGGGCTTGTATCCTGTATCTCTTTTTGTTTTTACAAAACTTCCTCTGTCAAACGTGCAGTTTCATATGGTAGCAACGGGGCCAGAAATGATAAGCCTTCAATATGCTGTCGATACATGTTGCACATATGTTCCCGAATGTGCCTTCCTTGGTTTTTACACGGTTCAGGAAGGAATGAGCCCAGTGCTTGAGCGTCACTAATATTTAACATGTAACACTTTCTGTAATACTTTCTATGCCCGGGACTGCGAGCACTTCCCAGGACACGCAGCCCCGGAGCCTCGGGCGGCGGCCCGGCCCGGGTACCCTCCGACGTGGGGTAGGAAGTCACGGGCCACAGCCTCAGGAGACTCTTAGGTTTTACACTCTTTACACGCGACTTTTCAAGCACACGCCCTAGAACAGTAAAAGGAAGCCCACGGACACGCCGCACAGCTTCAACTGTCAGCAGCACGTGGCCGACCATGTCCACGGCCACTTCCTGCTCCCGGGCCCCGCAGGGGAACCTCAGGCCTGCGTTCCCGTGCCAGCGCGTGGCTGTCCGGCTGCCCCTTCTGTGAGGAGGTGGCCTGCTCTGAGCGGCCACGTGTGTCCACGCTGCCGGCCACTGTGGCCGTTTCTGGTCTGCTTCAGGGAGAACCCCGCCCTAACTGGACTAGGATTCAGTTTTTTTGTTATTATTTTTAAATTTATCTTTATTGCTAAAAGTATTACAGATGTCCCCCTTTCCCACCACAGATCCCCTCCACCCAAGATAAGCATACCAAATATGCAGCATGTTTAAAAAATTTATTTTAGCCCTAGTCAGTTTGGCTCAGTGGATAGCACATCGGCCTGCAGACCAAAGGGTCCTGGGTTCGATTCCTGTCAAGGGCAAGTCCCTTGGTTGCGGGCTCCTCCCGGCCCAGGCCCTGGTCACGTGCAGGAGGCAACCAATCGATGTGTTGCTCTCACAGAGATGTTTCTCTCTGTCTTTCTCTCTCTCTTCGACTCTCCCTAAAATTTAATGGAAAAAATATCCTCGGGTGAGGATTAAGACAAAAACACCCAAAAGAAACAAACAAAAATTTTTTAGCTCCAAAATAGCCAAATAATACCCCTTCGAAATGGCCGAGGGGACAGTCACATGGACAATAAGTGTAGACTCATGCTAGCTTCCTGTGGCCTCATGGGTAATGGAGCCGGGAGTCATCCTCGCTCATTCAAATGAGAGGGCATTTGCTAGAAAATTCTCAGAAAGCAAAATTACATGCTCTGTCATTTTCATTTCTCAAATCTCCTAATACTCACTCATATTTCTGTGGCTTTTCTATGTTCAGCTAATTAGGACCATTTCAAAACTGTAACATTCATATGAAATACATGTCACTTCATTAACAAGTAGACTGATGGCTGTCTTGGTGTAACTGTAATGACAGCAATAACAGAGGCTTCCCTTCTAACCCCAGATCACGGTAAACGCCCAGCAAACCGGAAACGGGCGACTTCCCACACACAGGGCGCCTACAGAGGCCACAGCTCATGCTCAACGGGGAGACCGGCTGCTTCCCCTGATCAGAAACAGGCAAGGACGTCCGCTCTCACCGCGTCCACACAGGGACGGGCATTCTCGAGAGAGCAAGAGCAGGGGAAAGGCATAGCCCTGAGAGAAAGAAATGGGACTGGCCTCTACAAACGACATGACCGCCTATGGAGAAAGTCCCCGGGAACCTAAAAAACACACCCATGCGGAAACCAGACCAAACAGCAGTAACATTTACAATCACTTCGAAGGGCACAGACACAGGCAGACGCTGACAGCGCGCGTGCAGGGTTTGTGTGTGGCCGGGGTCAGCGAAGGACGGCTGCGGGGGCGGGGACAGGAATCGTGGGCACTGAGTGAGTGAGTACACCGGGAACGAAGCGAGAAGGCATCCCCAACAGGAAGGTGACGGAGAGCCTTTGAAGTGATTGGGTTGGGAACGGGAGTCATGGTAGGAATCCGTGTGAATACGAATGACAAAGCACAAACCGAACACTCACCAATGACTTTCACAAAGTAGGCATCTGCCTCAAAGTTGTTCTTTAGCGCGTGGATGGCCAAGTCGCTCCTCGTGAGCCCTTTACTGAGCACCACGATGTCCAGGATGCCCTGGGTGAACAGACGGGAGCGGTGAGAGCCAACCCCGAGCGGCTGGGAAGTGCTGGACATGCAGGGCACGTTTCTCACCTAAATGTGAACCGTACTCAACCCCATGTTCCAAATACAAATGCATTACAAGACCTAGGCCCGAGTAGGAAAACACAAGGCGAGTGAGAAACATTGCTAATTCAGATCCCGGGATGACAGCGCTTCGCTAGGTCCTTCCAGGCTGACGTGCGTGGAGGTGAAGGCCCGGGACAGGGACGTCCACAGCATGGCCACACCTGCCCGGCTGCCGCTCCTGCTCCCTTTTCCCTGCGGAGGGGAAGCTTCGCTCATCCTATTGGGGGAAAAGGTGCGCCCTTCAGCGTCCCTGCCGCCCCCTCGTGAGGCTGACCAGTGACCAGCTTCCCGTTAGCCGCCTGGGCTGCTCCTGTAAACTGACGATGTTCTTTTTCTCGAGAGGGAGTTTTGGTGGCTTCTCTCAGTTTATATAAACCCTTTTCATAGTAAGGATATTAATTATTTGATTCTTTCATAGCAAATTTATTTCCCAGAGTCAAAAACAATTTTAAATTTCATTCATTTAAATTTCATTTGGGATGTCTTTTCTGTAGAGGAATTAAAAATTGATTTGTAGGCCATTCCCTGGGACCTTTTCGCCAGTTACTTCTATGCTTGAAAACTGCTAATAAAGGTGAAATAACAGGAGGTTTGGTGGCAGAGACATAGAACAAGGGCCTGGATAATCCATGACTGAGAACCAGCCGCTTGTAAGAACAAACAACAACAAGAGCAAAGGGGGGTTAGGAGAGACGTGCCCGCCCTGCCTGGGGGCCTCTCACTCTCTGAAATGATGAGGGCACTTCACAGGCTGCCTGCATCAGTGCTGGAGCTGAACGCATTTGTATCAGACACACGACTCTCCTGAGCGGGGACCTGGCTTTCACGGGAGGAGGGAGCCAGGTGGGCGGCGCTCCGTCTGCGGTGCACACGCCCCTGCCCGTCTCAGAGCCTCCCTCGAGGGCAAACACGCACAGCAGGGGTGTTTTCACGTTTCCCTGCGCTGCTCGGCCAGTGGTGTCGGAAGTGTGTCCCCCTCCTCCAGCCTCAGAGGGGCTTTCCTGAACGAACCCATTTGCTTTCAGGGCCTCATCTATTTCCTGGTCAAACAGGGTGAGTGAGAGAGCAGGGAGCGATCGGACCCGCCCAGCGTGGACTCACGTCTTCGTAGATGTCGAAGAAGGTGGCGACCTGGGCCTCCCTGATCTGACTCAGGTCCGACAGCTCCCAGTACACGCGGAACATGCGGTGCGCCCCCTCGCAGCTCGCGTTGTTACAGGGCACGTTCTCCAGCAAGAAGGCCTGCTGGCTGCTGCAAGGGAGGACGGGCATTTAGGACACGGACACAGACAGGCTACTCAGACGTGAAGAGTGAGACATCACGACAGGGCACCCCTGATCGTCCGCTCGCAGAAGGCGCCGTGCGGTTAGGGAGTTTTGCCTCGGCGACGGGATGGGGAAGAGGAAGGGAGGAGGGACAGGGGTGGGGATGAGGGGCGGCTGCCCCGTTTCCCTCCGAGTGGCTGGGCGTGAGGCACCAGCTGAGACGGGGTTCCGGGAGAAGATTGCTTCAGGTTCGGGTGCGATGGGGAGTCCAGGGGCAGGTCCACCGGCGGCTACACACACACAGGCACAAGAACTAACCACATTTAAATTTCAATTCTATCTTCTTGGGGAAAGTTTGACAACATGCTGAGTTAAGATAATTACGTACCTTAAGGAATGGGCATTATCCCATCAATGAAAACGCATTAAACCAGGAATGTATACACAATCACCTATTAAACCCTTTCTTAAGCAGAGGACAAAACATTTAGATAATTAACTAACAGAGAAAAAGCAGATGAAAATAATTAATTAGAGCTTCTATGAAGCTGAAAACTTTCTCCTCGTCAGGTCTTCCTTGGCCTTGAGTGGCCCCAATTTAAGATTCACGCTCATCATCTGAAGTCCTTCTACCCTGCCTGGGAGGTGAGAGAAGTCTCAGTTCTTGAAATAATGATGGCTTGGAAACTGCCGCGTCATGGCATAGCCGTGATCATGGAAATTTACAGCAAATGTCACTAATTAGCAGTGACTCCCATGTTAGGGCACTTGAGGCAATAAGCGCAGAACACGGTTCAGAGACTGAAACTGCTCTCCCGGAATTCCCCCCCGGCCGCCACGCGCCAGGAGGCGAGCCCGGGCCCCAGGCCCCTCCTCACTCTGTGGGCGCCGTGGCACATGAAAGTGATGTCACTGGGGTCTACTTGGTTCGGACCTTCACTTACTTGCGAGGGAGGGAAGTAGTTTCTAAGGCCTATGGCCACGGCATTGTCACAGTAACAGTTTCCTGCTCACAAACCACGCGCCACACGTTTCCCACAGGAACCCGAGCGCGTCAGCCTGCCGTTCTGCTCTGTGAGGGGGACGCTGTCGCCCACCTCCTGAAAGGACTTAGAATGAGTAACAGATGTATTTTCTCGGAAGGTGAGAATCCCCGGCCTCTCCCTTACGTTTCCTCAACTGCTGGTTTTGTTTGTCAAAGGACAGCAATTGTGGGCCTAAACAGAAATGCTGGCAGTAAATCTTTTTCTGGTGATTATTGTGGTAGGACTTCCAACACTATGTTGAATAAGAGAGGTGAGCGTGGGCATCCATGTCTTGTTCCTGATCTTAGAAAAAACTTCCAGCTTTTCATCACTATGTTAGCTGTGGCTTTGTGGCCTTTACTGTGTTAGGTATGTCCCTTCTATGCCCACTTCATTGAGAGGTTTTATAACACATGGATGTTGAATTTTGTCAAGTGGCTTTCCTGCATGTACTGAGATGATCATACGACTTTTATCCTTCATTCAGTTTATGTGATATATTATGCTGCTTGATTGGTGGATATTAAACCATCCTTGCATTGCTGGAATAAATTTCAGTTGATCATGGTTATGATTTTTTTATGTATTGCTGAATTTGTTTGGAGAATTTTTGCATCTATGTTCATATAAGAGGGTGGCTTGTAATTTTCTTTTTTGGTAATGTCTTTCTCTGGTTTTGGTATTAGGGTTATGATTTTTTTATGTATTGCTGAATTTGTTTGGAGGATTTTTGCATCTATGTTCATATAAGAAATTGGCCTGTAATTTTCTTTTGGGAATGTCTTTCTCTGGTTTTGGTATTAGAATAATGTTGGTCTTGTAGAATGAGTTTGAAAACTTCCCCTCCTCTTCAATTTTTAAATTACTTAGAACAGGATAGGGATGAATTCTTCTTGGAATGTTTGGTAAAACTAACCTGGGAAGCTGTCTGGTTCTGGACTTCACTGAATAAAAAATAAGTTTTTCACTTTCTATTAGATGTCCACCTTTGTTCTACAGAAAATAAATCTGTGAAAAAGAACTAGTGTTTTTTTATTCTCTTTCTTTTAAAAAAATATACTTTTATTGATTTCAGAGAGAGAAAGGGAGAGGGAGAGAGAGAGAAACATCAATGATGAGAGAGAACCACTGATTGGTTGCCTCCTGCACACCCCATACTGGGGATCGAGCCTGCAACCCGGGCATGTGCCCTGACTGGGAATGGAACTGTGACCTCCTGGTTCATAGGTTGGTGCTTAACCACTAAGCCAGGCCGGGTGGGCGGAAGGGGTGTTCTAAGCAGCTGGAGGAAGTTCATGGACTACGTAAAGAAAGGATCCAAGCTGGTCTTGTTATGTAAGGGCCGGTACCACATTGGGGTGCTACTTAGTTACAAAGTGTCACGTGACGATATTTTACACGTCTCACGTGACTCACTTCCCGTACCTGCCAGAGGTGTTCTTCAGTATGGCCAGGGCGTCCGGGTAGCCGTCCATGTTGTAGTCGCCAATGCGAAGGGTGATTGGAATCGGAATTTCCATCGGGTGCTGTTCTTGCACAAACGGCACAAAGCCCCAGAGCGTGCCCTTGTTGCTGAAATCCTGCAAGACTGGAACCCACTATGAATAGGAGAGAGAGACGAGACTGTTTTACAGTCATTTTAGAAAAAAAAAGTCACCATTCGCAAAACAAGGAATCCGTTAAAGACCTCAAGAGAAACATCATCTTATTTAAGTTCTTTCTCTCTACAAGAGGGTGGGGTATCATAATTTACTCTGATGAACTGATACTCTGGGAGAAAGTTCTCTTTAAAATTTATCACTAGTCATCTTTCACTGAACCGGCACATACAGCCTCAGAAGGTTTTTCACAGAATTCCAGAATCTTAGGATTAAAATGACATGACTAATGACATAGCTGAATTGCCCATTTTAAAACCTGTGTTGACTGGAACTATAACCTCAAATAAATATTGTTAAAAATTAGAGCAAACTGCAATATGTAGCTGATGTCCTTTCAGGAGGACCGGTTAGGGGGGAGTTAGAACACGACCAAGTTCTTTCTGGACGACCTCGTCCCCCTGCTGGGCCTGATACGTGACCGTGAGCTTGGCCATCACCCCAGAACCCATCCACCAGCCCGATGAGCCCGGCCTGCCCCAGAGAACGAGCTTTATCACTAAAAGAGCCGGAAGCTCCAAAGTCAGAAAGTTAATAACGAACAGAACAGAGAGAATAGGTTGATTTTAAAATAAGCTTTTGGAAATAAATCCCTTTCTTTTCCGAATGCCCCCATTTTCCCTTTGTGCAGCCTAATGCACACTATGAATGGGAAGAGTGGGAAGACGCTGTTAGAAGTACAGATGCGCCCAGAGTGAGCTCAGGGCGGGGACACGGGCCGGTAGCTGGAGACACCGTGACAGAGCAGGCGCAGCTGGCCCTGCAGGGTTTCTCTTAGGAGCAGGTGAGCTATAGTGAAAACGGCTCCTGGAAAAGGACTCCTTTCACGGGTACCCGGACACCCTCCAGGCTTCTGAAGAAAGCATAACTTGCCGTGGAGAAGAAAGACACTTAAAGACACAGTTACAGAAAACAAGGCGCTTAAAAAAAACCTGTCTATCTTTAACCGCTTTTTCAATCTCATAAAGTAAAAAAGTATTAAATAGCATCAAAGTGTTCTCATGTTTCACTGGACTGAAAAAGATTGGTTTTGTTTGTGAAGATGGGAAACTTCATAAAGTGCCAACTGATCACCGATTTCTGGAGGCTGACAGCTTATTAATGAGAATGCATTCCTGTGAAGGTAAACGCATTAGGGCCTGAAAAGCAAAACGTTTCTTCATTAACGTGACATCCTAAGAGTCACCACAGCCCGGGGACATTCATCTCCCAGAGGCTGACTGTGTGCGGATGAGCGTGCAGGGTCTGCCACCTGAAGACGGCCCCAACCACCAGGCTTACTGACACCTACGAACCGACGTGAGGTGTGTGTGACCTCATGTTTTCAGTGATTCAAACTAAGAAACTTCAAGATAATAACACTTAGGGTTGTAACAGCTAAGTGTGTTTAGAATGCTATTCCATTTATTGGGATGACAATGGTTATAGAATTACACAGGTTTCAGACGTACAGCTCCACAATACATCACCTGTGTATTGTGTTTCGTGTTCCAAGCTTCCTTCCATCACCATTTATCCCCTTTGTCTTCTCCCCGCCCCTTCCCTCGGGCAATCACCGCACCCGCTGTCTGTGGAGACTTGTTCTCGTTAGTGTCTTAGTATAAAAGGCGATGTTTGTACTTGTAAGGGCTAAAAGTCAATGTGTTATTCCATCCTCTTTACCTCCAAGAGAAAGGAAAAGGGATTAGTTCTACCCTATTACTGCTTTCCCGCCAGGCGCTGTCCACGTGGAGAAATTTTCAATGTCATGACCTATTGTTTCCGCGTTAGTCCTTGGCTGTGACTATCGGATCCTAAATTGTTCACCTACAGGCTAAGGGAGGAATCGGCGGGAGATGACATAGATCTCGATATCGCAGACAGAAACCCGATTAGCCTGAAAGTGGATACGATGCTCTTCATTAGCCCTGGTTAGAGTTATGGTGCGTGTACCTTCCCCCCCGCATATAAAATGCTAACAGATCATTTAATTACAGGATCAAGAACAGGTTTTCTTTACCTGCAATGATTACAACAGCACTTTCCCCCTCAATAAACCAATCAAGACTAGATGGAAACGCATTTCACTAAGTGAGGATGTCGATCATTCGGTTTTTCTCTGCTCTATTCTTCAGATTATCTTTCCTGACCTCCGAGCCTGCTTTGCAAGGCGGGACCCCATCAACGTTAGCGAAGTGATGTACCTGCTCTGTCCCGGACCTCGCCAGGTAGATGGCGCTTCTCTGGCAGCCGCGATCCTCACAGCCCGGGAGCAAGTGGTCCATGTGCCCGTCTCCATCTGTGAAAGAAGCGCCGAGTCCACCAGCAGCCCCCACACGCGTGCTCCCGGGGCAGGGCACGCTCCTGCCCGTCCCCCGGGCACACCGGGCAAGCTGGCGGAACTGGCTCCCTGTTTTAACTGCTCACCTTTCTGGGCTAAATATTTACCCAAAGTGGGAAAAAAGGCCCCATTTCAGGGTCTAATGTTAAAATCGCCCATTTAAAAAAATGGGGCTTTTGACTTATTTACATCCTCATCCCCACTGCCCCGGGAGAAAGGAAGCGTGTCAGCAGTAACCCATGATCAGGCATATTTTACATGTGTTTACACACGGTTGTGTTACATGCACGTTTAGGTGTCGCCTATACAGCAGGGACCTCAATGGTCACAAAGCTCGCAGCCCCGACCTCAAGAAAGCCATACATTTTCATCAATAAAAGAGCAAGTGAAGGAAAAAGATGTCATTTCCAGCTGTTACATTTTCAAGCACTGCACGTCTGCAAAGACCTCTGGAGAGGGGGTGACTGAGGACCCTGGGGGCGACCCTCAGGGCTCCCCCATCTACTGTCCCGGAGCCTGGGGGGGGGGCAGATTTTGATGTCCGCACCAGGGAGGAGCCCCCTGGCTCCTAGGGCTGGGCCTGACTCGGCAATGCTCTCATCACTGACTCATCACCATGGTTTAATGTTTCCGACACAGGCCTGCACCCGAGGCTGTGCGAGGGCTACCGGGAAGAAATGTCCTCCCTGGCGGGGCTGGGTATTGAGACAGATGGCGGTGAGCCCCTCGAGTCTCCATTCCCATCCAGGAGGAAGGAAGGCGTGTTGGGCGGAGCATTCTTGTATTATTCACAGTTTTAGATGATCTGTACATTGGTTGTACCTTCTTTGGTCATGAGCCCAGGAAGTGAAGTCGATCACTGCCCAGGGAGCCTATAAGACTATAAGAAATGCTTGGGATTCCTTGCATCTGCTCTTCAACTGAACTTCAAACAGAACATAACTGTTTCCCCCTCCTATGCAAATCTTGTTTTGTCTTCATGGTCTAGCTCAGCAACTGCCTCTTCCTTGAGGCCTTTCCTGCCCACCCCATCGACAGTGCTCTTTCCCCCTGTGAACTCCATACTGGGTATAAATAGGCATTTGAACTTAGAAAATCTTTTCATGTATTCATGCTCTGTCTCTCTGCCTAGAGGAGAAGCCCTTGGAGGACAGAGCCCATTGCTCACTCACATTTCTATCCCCACATCATCGGATACAGAGTCACCACTCAGTAAGTGCTTGAAACCTTGTCTAGGCAAACTTGCAATTTCACCTTTACCTCTGAAAATATATGCAGAACTTCCTTTCTTTTGACATTTTTGTTTATTGTAAATTATACACCCAACATATGATGACATTGTCATTGTAAAATTTCAAATGATGCAGATAGTGTTAAATTCCTTTTTACCTTGACCACCCTCCACATCTAAGTTCTCTTTCTAGACATAAATACCATTTAAGTATTCCTCCAAACATTTTCACTGCATTGACATACATGGAGATAAATATATTTGTGTGTGTTTTCCCACATATGGGTGTCATATATTATTTTGCAGCTGGATTTTTAAATGTAATTATTTTTAAGACCTTATCATGTTAGTAATACAGATTTACTTCACTCTATTAAACTGATGTGTTGTATTTCATAGAGTGGATATATTGATCCCCTATAAATGTTCATTTTGTTTTTTCTTAATGTTGGTTTAATTATTGCAAACAACAGTATGATAAAAAATTCTATATAAACAGCTCTTTGAGCACACATCTGTTTCTCTAGAGAAAATATCAAAAAGTTGAATCACTGGGCCAAAGGGTATGTGTTTTTTCCCCCTCAAATAAAGCCTTTCTGACTCATGTGGAAGCAGCTGGAGAATGTCTCTCCCTAAGATCTACAGCTTACAACATCAATGAGATTATTATTTTTTAAAATATTGTCAACCAGAAGATAGTAACAAATTTATCAAATCATTTCCTGGGCTTTATGGCTGTTGTTCAGAGACTTTTTATTTTATTTTAAATTTTTGTTGTTGTTGTTAATCCCCACCCGAGGATATTTTTCCATTGGTTTTTAGAAAGAGTGGAAGCGGGGAGAGACAGAGAGAGAAACATCGATGTGTCGGGCACATGCGCCCGACCAGGGACCGGAATGGAGCCTACAACCCAGGTACATGCCCTTGACTGGAACTGAACCCGAGACCCTTTAGTCCGCAGGCCGACGCTCTATCCACGGAGCCGGGGGTAGGGAGGTCTGGAGGCCTGAGAAGTGACTGGCCCACAGACATCGCCCTGGTGGTGCGGAGGGCCTGTCACTGACGCAGCCTCGCGCATCCATCCGTGGCTGCTGCAGCAGAGACGGCACCAGGCGCCAGGCGTGTGCTCAAGACCACGGTGTGCTGCACTGTGCTTCACGGTCCCAGCCGCCACGGAGGTCCAGGGCCACGTTTCCACCGACACGATCTGACCTCCGGCTGCAACAGGGACTGTCGCTGTGACAGGGACGCGCCCGTTCAGCCATCGGACAGAACCAGGCAAGGCCAATGGGAAGACAGCAACGCCCTGTGCTCCCCTCAGCCAGCCTTGTGAGGTGCCCGTCACCGTCACCCTCGGTTGGTAATGGGGAGACAGGCCTCTGGGCGGGGTGGCCTTCCGCCTGCACCCCGAGTGTCAGGCTGAGGTGTTATTGGCAGGAGGAAGGGAGAGCTGCCACCTCTCAGGAGGAATCCAGACCCCTCCCAC